ATAGTAAATACAGTCAAGGTTTAGTGATTATGATCAAGGTGTCATTTCTTTTACAACTGATTTGTACAAATCAGTGACTTAAAAATGTTGTGTTCTAAATCAGTGTACAAATAAAATAAGTAAAAACAAGAAAGTTGTTGGTTCTTCTTTATCTCTACACCATCCAAACACAAATAACAAGAAACGAACCTTTTGAATGTTACATTGCATCATTATCTTCATTAAATGTTCTCAATACAATAGTCTTCTAATGTTTTAAAATCAGAAAAAATATGGTTAATATGGGGTTAGAGAGATAATAAAGTACTTACAAATCAGAAATTACGTAATATGTGAAATAATATGAATTAGGTACGAATTAGTAAATAAGGCTGGGTGCTGAATAAATTTCTTAAAATGTTTGCAAGTGTTGTAATAATACTAATAATAATAGTGATGACAATAATAATAATAATATATGTAAATGAGATACGTTTAAGTTATGAAAATGCAATAGGAAGGTTCTATGAATATTGGTCAAATTACGTCATTATATCATCAAAATGATTAATAACTGACTGAGCCAGAATTTTAGGGAGGTAAAAAAGGAGCGGTTGAACGTATTTCTTCTAAACGCATAACTCAGACGTTTTGAATAGCTATTGCCATCGGATCTCACAAATTCATTTAACGTATAAACTTATTCAAGTCAACATTTCACATCAGTCATTCCAACATTTATTTTATTTTATTTTACATAAAGAGCAATCCCAATTCCATGTGATATAGTTTTAAACAATGTATTTCGCCTTCAGCACGGATTCAGAAAGCTTGTTTGGCTTTTGCTAACTTACGTCACCTGTGGTGAAGGCGGGATATCAGTCTATCAATTAAGGGACGAGCATACTGCGCTGCAGTTCGTTCTGTACTACTTTATGACTGCGAAACGTGACTATTGACAGTAGAAGATACTCGTAAGCTATTAATATTTGACTACAGATGTCTTAAAAATATTGCTCGCATCTACTGGGACAACCGAGTAAGTAATCGTGAGGTGAGCTGCAGGGTATTACGGAATGATGGTAAATCAGTTGATGACGTTGTGAATCTTCATCGACTGAGATAGTTGGGTCACGTGTTACATATGCCTGAACACCGATTATCATGACGCGCAATACTGACTAGTGTTGAAGACGGTTGGAAGAAAGTTATGGGCAGCCAAACCAAAACGTGGCACCAGTACTTGAAGTCACTAACTTCTAGTCTTAGTTATGTTGGTAGATGCAGACTACTTGGTTCGGGTCGGAGTGACTCAGAGTGACATAGCTCGGAGCCAATCACAATGGTGTAGATGTATACACTCTCTGTCTTCCCATATACTATGATTACAAAATCGCTTCATATCTTTTTTCCTACCAACTAAATCTTCCTGTACTTCCTGTACTATATCCTGATATGCAACCTTTCCTTTATACATTTATTACCATCATTGAATTAACTACTTCTATAAATTTAGTGTTCATCTTGTTATGCTAATGAGGTATGGCAACTTGAACCGATACATATATATTCTTAGTCCTATGTTTTAGCTGACTGACTGATTGACTGATATTTTGCCTTAAACATAGTCAGATTTTTGGATTATTAATTTCGATATATGATTATAAAACCTTAAAAAGAATTCATTGAGAAAGAATGTTTTTTTTTCTTCATTCAAATATCTATGAATTATTGGGCAACAAAAATAATCTTTTCATAAATAGAGCAAGAACAAAGATTGGTGCAGAATAATATGAATTCATTTTATTTCGTTAGGTTCTCATCAGCTGCTTACAACCTAAAATATTTAAAATTCAACATTATTACAGATATTGACATATTTATACATAAGAGTGTGATTAAGGATCAATACATGTGTATGATGATGTAGCAAGCAAAGATTCAGATAGAGTTAATGAGCTCATAAAATGTTTGATTCGAATAAATAAATAAAGTTAGAAAGGGAAAGTTCCAGAACATTGAAATAGTGATTAGAACTCATGAAAATAGATTAATGGTAATAAAGAAAATATGAATTGAAATCAATCAGTTATGTATGATGCAATTTATATTTCAGAAAGAGTTGCAATAATGACGTAATAAATAAATAAATAGGAGCAAATTAATATAAAGAGTGAGGGTTATTGTTACCAGGGTAAAGAAAGATTTATTACCGTCTCTTTTTGTATACATAGATCTGGTTTTAAACGTTTGATTGCTAACGCTTCAGCGAATTTCAAAAGGTTCGAGCTTGATTGTTTGTTAATCACCTTGAAGGACTTCAGTATATCAGCTTTATGTCCTGTATCAAGGAGATGTCTTGCGATAGCACTGTTGAATGAGTTCAATCCATTCAATCTTAAACTTTTCGGAATATGTTCTTTGAATCGGACGTAGGCTCTCCTTTCTGTTCTACCAATGTAACTGCATTGGCAGGTACATGTAAATTTGTATACACAGTTGGTGGTAACATGAAAGGGATACCTGTCGACCTTTGATTGTGTCAAAGAACATGTTGTTTTGGACAGGACAATCAATTTCGCTGCAGGATAGGTTCTTGTCAGTGCAGTTTTTAGTCTCATATTGATTGATCCTGTGACATCGTCACCTTTGAATTGAAGTTTAATAAAAATAGGCTTTTTATTTGCTGTAATTTCTTTCAGTTTTTTATCTTCACATTTGCCGTATTTCTCAATAAATTTCAGTGGGTATCCGTTATTCTTTAAACATTTTTTAACATTCATAACTTCCTCTTCTAGTGTATCGGAAGTACATATTCTTTCTGTTCTGTAAAACAGTGTTTTGACCAGTGCCTTTTTGTAACTGATTGGACAAAAGCTATTGAAATTAAGATAACTACCATTCCATGTGTCTTTCTTATAAACTGAACGTTGAACTGTACCATCTTTTCTTCTTTTCATCGCGATATCGAGAAGATGGAACTTGTTTTCTTTTTCATGTTCCATAGTGAAATGGATATTCGGATGTGCTTCGTTGAAAAGCTCTAGCAGATTTATTGCTTGTTGTTTATTATTACATACGATGAAGGTATCATCAACATACCTCGAATAATACGTCATTTCATCAATCGCTCGTTTGAGTTTGGTTCTTTCGAGGTTAGCCATGAAAATATCTGCTAGGACAGGACCTAACGGACTTCCCATCGCTACACCATCGGTTTGTTTGTATATGATATCGTTGAACTGGAACTGAACATCTTTTGTACAAATGAGTAATAGTCGTTTGAATTCTGGTACTGGTAGAGGTAGGATGTCAGAATGTTGACAAATTATGTCTATGGTCTCAAGAAGTGGTATTTTTGTAAACAAAGATGTTACATCAAAAGAAACCATAAACTTATCAGCAATATTTATGTGATTCATGCTGTCAGCAAATACAAATGAATCCTTTAGCGTATAGGTGGCTAATCGTTGACGCACTGGTTTTAACTTATCTGCTAGCCATCGTGCAACTTTGTGGTATGGTGAATTGATCATTGACAAGATAGGTCTAAGAGGATAACCTTGTTTATGTATTTTTGGTAATCCATACATGTGGGGCAAACGAGACCCACGAGGTCGTAGATTATTGTAAGTAGAGTTATCGATCATCTTCTTTTTCAGAAGATCTCTGAGTACTTTGGTGATTCTTTTCTCAATGGAATCAGTTAAGTCTTTGTTACTTTTCTCTAACTTGAATCTCATATGGTCATTCAAGATGGACTTCATCTTAAAAACATAATCTGTTTTGTTCATTAGAACAACACTTGAGCCTTTGTCTGACCGTAATATCATTATATCGTCATTTCGTTTAATATTTCGTAATGCTGTTTGGTGGTCTTTGGATAAAAGCTTAGACTGTGGTGCGGGTGAAACAAGATATTGGTTTGCAATATCGACTAATTTAGATTTAAACCAGCCTTTCTTTTCTTCACTAACTGGGTGCAACTCTTTAATTTGATCAAATAAATTCTCAAATTGAGTTTCTGTGTCGATTCTGTAGGCATGTGTTTTGGGGATATGAAATTTAAATCCAAGTGACAAGGCTTCTGTTTCTATCTGATTTAACTTCATTGTTGATAGATTATAGAGAAACTTTTCGGGGTTTTCCGGAAAGCCAAAACATAATTGTTCCTTTGACAGCGTCTTTGACAAAGTTACGTGGAAATTCTTGCATATTTTGCTTTGCAGATCTTGTATAAAGTTGATAAATTTTATGCGACATACGATACTTAGATTGTTGATTAAATCATCAAAGGCATTAGTTTCTGCCCTCAAACGTTCAATCAGTAACTTTGTTGATTCAATGTGAGATTTTGTGATGCGTCGAAGATTTTTAAGAGAAGGCGGAAGTTTAAATGAGCGTAAAGACTTTAGGAACTGACGTGGGAAACGGCATGACTTAAGACATTCATCAAAAAACTTTAGTCGAGTTATTTCTCTCGATATTCTGCAGCGTATTGTCACCAGGCGATTCAGTGACTTGAATGACTGTGCAGGGAGACGCATTTTGAGAAATTTCATACACCGAATCAATTAAAATCTAAACTATTCTCTATCGATATGCTTAGAAATGATAATCATATATATATTCAACCAGTCTTTTTCAATATACATATTAGTACAAACCCTTGTGTTTTCTTGAAAAACCAAATTTGTCCTAATCAATAAGCACGTTTCAAATTGATGCCAATTATCAGAAGAAAAAAAAACTTTTTTTCAAAAGAAAAACTGGTCGTTTAAAAAAAAATTTTTTTTTGAGATCAAACTTAGTTATCACACAAGTGAAGAAATATTATTTGTGTAGATTTAATTAATTGAAATAGAAAGTTTCTTCTGTTCACCAAATAAACTTTAAAGGAATAAAAGGAAGTTCAAGATGAAATGTTATTTAATAGAAGAGAAGTATAAAACTATGAAAATTGTGATTTTAACATGTCCATAATGTAAAAGTAAATTACTCATATAGTTAAATTAGTATTATTATACATTCTGTTTGTAATTTATGATGATAGTAGTAGTAGTAGTAGTAGTGGTAGTAGTAGTAGTAGTAGTAGTAGTAGTAGTAGTAGTAGTGGTAGTAGTAGTAGTAGTAGTAGTAATGGTAGTAGTAGTAGTAGTAGTAGTAATGGTAGTAGTAGTAGTAGTAGTAGTAGTAGTAGTAGTAGTAGTAGTAGTAGTAGTAGTAGTAGTAGTAGTAGTAGTAGTAAACACTGGTATACACATTTAAGAATTATTTGACATAAATGATGAATGCTTTTTGTTCAGTCATTTATTTCGATATTTCATGAATTGCACTTCAGAATATTTAGTAACTAAACGATGTGGATAGTTCTGGTCTCTTGTTAATATTATATGAAGTTTTAAATATATTAGTCTAGTGGATAGTTCATTAACGAATACTTTAAGGAATTAGTATCAGAAGCGGGTTTTATGGAGATTGTTGTAATTTCAATAGTTGAGATTGTAGTGACCTACTTTTACCAAGAGAATACGATTGGTTTAATGGAAACAATTATTATTATAACCAATTGTACCAGTGATTGTTTTACTGTGCTCATTTGTTTAACTGTACTAAAGACATATATTATTCCTCCATTATTCTTCCGTTTACTGTGGCCTTGTACTCTCGCACGTCTGCTCATTGATTCCGCTTGTATTTCCTTTGGCACGATCTCGGTATACTTTCGATACCACGAAATTGCCAACGAATAAACCTTGTTACAACCTTCATCTGCCTTATGATTTTCTGGTACGTGCTCTTCTTGTAGTGGCGTTCACAGTCAAGCGCGACTCGACTCGACGCTACAAGATCATGAGTCAGTTAAAGCTAGACCACTTTAAGGAATCAATATTATGCAAGTTAAATTTTTTCACAGAATGTATAGATAATACATGAAGTTACTGTATTATTACAATCTTAAGAGGTGAATAGTCAAATGAAGGAATTCAGAACTATGTTCTAGTATTATGACTTTCAGCACAACCTTGATGTAACAAGTGATTATTCTGAGATTCTACCTCGCAATATTGAACCTTTCTTATTGGTGGGAATATAAATTTATTTTAAAATTTCAGTGGCAATTTTCTATAACTTTCTGTAATTGTTTGATTCGTTTTTATACAAATTAAGTTAAATATAACAGTTATCTTCCCTGCCACTAAATATATTGGTTCGTTTGTTTACTGATATCTATCTATTGCAGTTAAATTGCATTATAGAGTAAACAAACTTTGAAGATTTCAACTGCTGTATTCTCTCCTTATTTACTCAACAGACTTCATTATTCTTATTCGTACAAAAGAATATTTCAAAAAACCTTATATGCTACTTATAAAATTGATGAATCCAGAAAGCCACCATTCTTAACTACAACTAGATAAATCTTCTATCTTCCTACTTTTGTCATTTTGTAAATGATGGTATTTTACTATAAAACCATCAAAAGTTGTTTACATAATGTCCAATGCATGAATTCGGGATGTAAGTTTTATTTTTACTGAGCCTGATCAACCATCTGTCTATTCATTTCACTAAGAATAGGTGTCTACTAAGAAATAATAACTTAAAGCTTAATCACTATACAGTACAGTGATACAACTTAATTGACATACTCTACATCTTTACACAGTGCTAACAAAATAATCGACTATGACTCGATGAAACAAGTTGAAAATTCAGTCACCTTTATAATAGTGATAGTGCACCTCATTATTTTTAACAATATATTTACACATATCTTAATAAAACCGCATAAAGTATCCATTTTATTTTGTCACTTCTAATTCAAATCGTTGACATTGCTATTACTGTTCAAATCATATTCTACAGTTGAAAGAACATTTTGTTTTAATATTTGTCATTTGTTTTCATGTGGTCAAGGTCATCCTTATTGATATAAAATCTGATTTTATTACTTATTTAATTAAATGTCATTTATTTAATTGCGTTTCAATGAGTGAATATTTGATTGTATCAATAAGGACAAAGTTTTGAAGTCCATTCAATTTATCTTAATATTTAATTCATTTCATTAACATCATATGGTATACTAATCATAATATATATCAATGTACAATGTATAATACATGAGACATAGACCAGTAGGTATGAAATGACAATGAATGGAATGTATTTATATTGGATTCATTACCTTACTAGTTTTATGAATTATGATAATATACTAAATTGATAACAAAAAGAAAAGATAGATCAAAAGGATTTTTCAAAAGCCTAGAAATTATTACGTATACAAGTACGCATATATTGATTTTTTATATGCGAGAAATAGTTGATTTAACCAGTTGGGAATTACATCTAATGCAATATATTTTTCATTTAAAATCAAACCCCAATATGATGTTTATAATAAATCCATTAGACTTTACCATTAATATTAAAGATAGAATTTCTTGTCTTGCACGAACAATGTCATTTGCTTATTTTGTAAATGAATTTTTAGTACAAATATGCAAGTAATTCAACAAACAGGGAGAGAGTAAGAGATTGAGTTTGTTTTGGATCATACATGTTCATACAGCATGACTAAATACAACGAATGTAAGTGTACCAAAAGCGTTAGGAAACTTTACTGATATAGTTAAAAAGTAATCATCCGTCGCGTAAGTGTTAGTAACGTAAGTATAGGGATATTCAGTAGTTTACATCACGAAGTGATCTTAACTAGACAATCAGTTAAAACCTGGAAAAACTAGATGGCTGTAAATAAAAACTTTCGTCTAAATTTAATCGAATAGTTTCACAGTATTTAAGCGCCCAGTTGATGTGAGACATTAAAGAGGAAGAATGTATTTGTTTCGTCTTAGTACTGGACTTCTGAGCAGTACGAATAAACAACTCAGGATCCACAAACCAGACTTAGGACTTTCAGTCTCGTATGCGAACTCTTAACCTCTAGACCAGTGGGCTGGCTTCCAACGTTGTTAATGTTTAACTTCAATAAAATTCGCAATATTGCTCAATCTTCAGTGATGTAGCTATCACCGGTTGGTGATTTAAACAATAAAAACTCTAAAATCTTCACAAAAACCCTATACTGATAATGAAAATACTTGTTTCAAGACTACGAACGTTTTAATGTCTGGTAATTAAAAAACTTACGTCTGATATCCCTCATGAATGAGCATAGGCCCACCAGCATTTTTCATCCAACTAAGTCCTGGGCAATCCTTTCAAGTTCTTTTCAGTTGCTATTCATCCTGTTCATAGCTGCTTTAACTTATCAGTGAAGTGTGTTCTTCGGCCTTTCACCTTTTCGTTTCCTTTCAGGATTAAAAGTTAGCGCTTGCTTTGTGATGCAGTTTAATGATTTCTTCAATGTGTGTCCTATCCACTTCCAACGTCTTTTCCATATCTCCTCTTCAGTCAGAAGCCGCTTTGTTCTCCCCCACAGTAGACTATTCCTGATGGTATCCGATCAACGGACATTCAGTATCTTTTACCCTGTACTAATTGTTGTGTCCTTGACTGGAAAAATTAGAGAGCAGCGTATTTATCGATCGATTCAATGACACGTAAACACGTACGGACGGTCTAGAGTCTCGAATGGTCTCGCTTCCCTGTCTACCCAGTCAGTTGAGTCCAGAACACAAGTCACAACCTCTGAGTTATGAATAATTATATTTCAAACATACTTTGTTTATATACCAATCAAGCATACCACATCGTACCATAAAATAGAATACAACATTTTGTACATTATTCAACAAGTGAACAGATATCGACCAACAGGAAATGTCCATTTAAAGTCCAAGGACATCCTTGGACTTAACATGATAATTATTGGTCTATTCCTTCGCATCCACAACACATTGTATTCCGTGGCTCCCGTCAGATGTGGATATCTTCATAATCCAGTCGACCTTACTTACTTACTCACTTACGCCTGTTACTCCCAATGGAGCATAGGCCGCCGACCAGCATTCTCCAACCCACTCTGTCCTGGGCCTTCTTTTCTAGTTCCATCCAATTCTTGTTCATTTTTCTCATGTCTATTTCCATTTCTCGGCATAATGTATTCTTTGGTCTTCCTCTTTTCCTTTGGCCTTGAGCATTCCATGTGAGGGCTTGTCTTGTGACGCAGTTGGGTGCTTTCCTCAATGTGTGTCCTATCCACTTCCAGCGCTTCTTCCTGATTTCTTCCTCCGCTGGGATCTGGTTTGTTCTCTCCCACAGTACGCTGTCGACCACCAGAAGAAAAAGAAAGGCGAAGAATAGGCAGCTTTGTCTGATTTCGGTCCTCTGTTGTAATGCATCTGTCAACTGTCCTCCATACACGACGTTGCATTGTAGTCCGTCGTATGAATTCCGGATAATGTTGACAATCTTCTGAAGAACTTCATAGTGTCAAAGAAGTTTTCATAATGTCCTCTTATCCACACTGTTTTGTTAAAGCCTCACAATGAACCATTAATTAATTAATTCTTCTTTCAAATTACTCTTAGTAATGATTAATTGATTTAAATAAAAAATTTTCTAACTAGGAAACATTTGAAATTCTCTTTCATGAATAAAACCTTTTAAATATAAAATTTTTTTCAATGAATTTGGCAAAAGTGTTTCACTATTTTAATCGATAAAAAACTAGTGATCTAGGGAAAAATAATTTACAGCATTTTTGTTTATTACAATACACTTGATGTTTTTTTAATCACTTTGCCGTTGGCACTAATGTTCAGTACAGTTATGCAAATATTGAAGTGATCAGAAAAAAAAGTCTATTTGAACAACAATAAAAACTCCACTTCATGCTGAATCTCTTTTTCAATAATAACCTGTCTTAAAAATAACCATAAAACTTTGTCCGTATCCATGAGTACAAACAAAGCGAAATGTTAATTCTCTTGAATGTGATGAAAACGTTTGTTTAATTCACTATTGATTAGCTCTGTGAATATTTCGTCTCAACTCAATCTGTTATGTCGAAATGAAGAAATATCAGTTAAAGATTGATATTACAAAGCTCTTTGTAAACTTTTATGCTATTCGCTACCTGGCCTATTAAATTAAAAAGTGTTCTTAAAATCTGCTTCTATACATTCATATATAAACAGGAAATAGTACACAATCAAATGTGACATATTTAGTCGTAATCACACTGTAATTATTATTTTCTTGATCATAATCATATTCATATGTCCGATTTTGCGTTCATTTATGCCAGCCTATTCATTTGCTGTACTAAATGTAAAACGTTATATAAACT